AGTAATGCTTTGGTGCAGTGACCTGACCTGAACTGACTCCCTGTGGGACTGATTTTATTCCTGGTAAACCAACCACCTCTAACAACAAAATGCCCTTAAAAGCAACTCATCGTACCTCCTAGAGAATCACCACTTATGGCTTGTGTGCCAGCCAGTTAGCTGGAAAGTGCCCAGGACTAGGCTAAGGCTGAGACCACTTACCATGCATTCTAGACACAGCGAGAAACAGCGCCGCTCTGCAAGTCTGTGCTTATCTTAATCACGTCCACTAATCAAAAATCAACAATAAACACAAGTTCTGCACAGGATAAATTCCAGTTTTTCTGGACACACACGTTTCACATGATGATCAATCTTGGTTGCAAATGCTACATGCTGACACTACATGTGGAGAATTTCAGTAAACTCAAAGAGAAACTCCTCACTCCTTCCTTCTGGTTGAGGATATATTCGCTTTTGCTTTAAAATCTTCCCTTTGCTATCAAAATTTCCAGATGGATTTTTGTGAAATCCATCAACACTTTCTTGACGCCCTTCCATGTGATTTTACTACCTTCACTGAGGCGTGAGGCTCCTTCAAGATGATGTAATGGCTACAGTCTTGGGATTTTGCTTGTGGTGCTGATATTTAAAATATTAATGGCCATACTTTAAAATGGGGCTGGAAAAAGTTCAATGTGAAGCAAACTTAAGGGTCTTAAAGGCTCCTTCACCTTCTCCCCACCCAGCTGCTACGGTGTGGGTGGAGAGGATTATTACAGAGCATTGGAATTCTTGGGGGGGGGGGGGGGGGGGGGGCAGAGGGGGATGGTCACATAAGCGTTATAAATACCAGCGGCCGAACTGTGAGCTCCTGGGCTGAGGACAGGCTGTAGTCTCCCCTTAAAGGCACAGAGCAAGGAAGCTCCCTCAAGTATTTCCACAAAGGAAGTTCCTCTTCTCCACAGAAATGCTCAGCTGAACACCTGCACCAACCAGTCTACGCAAAAGAAACCGCAGATGCCAGGAAAAGGGACGAGATTTTTAAACCAAACACAGATCAGCACCAGCAAAAATAAAGAATCCAGGGCCCGGCCTAAGGGTGTTGCTAACTACACAGTCATAACCAGATTACCAGAAGGTAGCGTGCCACGTCAATATTTATCTTAACGAGCACCCTTTCCAACTGAGTCCTAAATTTCCCACATACAGGTGGCACTTTTCTCCTATCTAGGGCAATGGTTCTCAACTAAGGGGAAATTTTTCTTTCCAGGGGACATCTGGCAATGTCTAGAGGCATTTTTGGCTGTCACACTGGGGAAAGGTTTCTACTGGCATCTAGTGGGCAAAGATCAGGGATGCTGCTAAACGTCCTCCAATGCACCGGACAGCTGCCCACAACAAAGAATCATCCAGCCCAAAATATCAGGAGTGCTCAAGTTGAGAAACCCTGTTCTAGGGCATTCGTTTTACTTCCTTGGACCCCAGTAGTTCCTATTGGAGTAGCCTTGTTTAAGGAAGAAGGAAAAAACCAAGGCAGGCCAAGGGTCAGCACAAGGCAGGGCAGGCAGGGGTGGTGAGGTTCTACTCATCTTATCCTGACGGCTGTAAAGCTGGAGATACCTAAACCTCCGGTGACAGACAGGTCACACCAAGTGTGATTTCCTTTCTCTCCAAGGGCAGGTAGATAATGCTAACCTCACTTGCTTTCTTCTCTGGTAAATCTAACTGGCAAAGACAAAGATGAGCTGATACTGTCTTTGTAATTATTTGAAAGTAAGGAGTGAATATCTATCATTGTGCAGACTGGCAGTCTCTCAGCTCCATGGCAGGCCCTGTCCTCCAAGGGTTTTCACACGTGCTCACAGTGAAGCTTATGCTTGCTTTCCATGAGGCCAAAAAATCAGATGAACAGGTTTATGGGGCTTTCTTGTTCTGGCTTCAGAGTAGGATAGAGGTCCCCAGACAGAAGCTGCAAGTGTATGCAGTCCCTGACCCTGGGCTCTACTCAGACTGAATCAGGACTGAGAACAGTCCTAAGAAAGCCTGCTGCCTTACCTGTAGCCCACCAAACCCCAAACCTCCACACGTCCTGACTGAGAGGCAGGCGTGGTTCCTGAGGGGGGTGCAAGGGAGGGGCTGGTGTAAGACTCAGAATGATCTCAATTCTTGGGCTTCCCTGGTGGCGTGGTGGTTGAGAGTCCGCCTGCCGATGCAGGGGACACAGGTTCGTGCCCCGGTCCGGGAAGATCCCACATGCCGCGGAGCGGCTAGGCCCGTGAGCCATGGCTGCTGAGCCTGCGCATCCGGAGCCTGTGCTCCGCAACAGGAGAGGCCACAACAGTGAGAGGCCCGCGTACCACAAAAAACAAAAAACAATGATCTCAATTCTTGATTACAAAACCTACATAGGGAATTTCAAAATGAGGAAAGCTTCTTGTTACCATCAGACTTACAGATTTCTTCTCCAAATCTGGAGTCTTTCTCTTCCCTTCCTAGGAAGGTCACCCTGAGGGAATTCTTTGACTTAAGTTTCAGTGAAATAAAGGTCCCTCCTTTCTTGTTAGACTCTAGTTATATGTATACAGTTCCTTTTCCTCACTAATCAGAGACTCTCTTGTTCAGGAAAACAGAATTTCCTGAAGAGATGAGCCAAAGTCTTTTCCTTCCAGTTTTCTGCAAACATGCTCAATATTCTCTTTCGTGATTTCTGGAATGGCTTCTTCCTTTCTACGTCCAACAGAGAGCAGAACCCAGTAAAGTGCCTAACTCAGGAGGTTTGAGGCTTTTGCTTGTTTAGTGGGAAAGGACTCTCTTCCATTCCCATCTGATAGGTCCTCGCTGGCTGTCCAGATTCTATCAGTTATTCCGAAGCAATCGAGGGAAAAGTCTTCCCTAGAAATAATGACTTTCAGACTTTCACATTCATTTAAGAAGGAAATAACTTCCCAGAGGCTAACTGCCTTTCCTAGCATTTTTCAGCACTGTTGCACAGTCCCAAGTAAGCCTGGGGTTCTCCACAGACCTGACTCATTTCTCTATTCTGACCATCCCCCGTGGAGTCAGCTAGGTCAAAGCACAGCCCACATTTCTGTTTCACAGATTCATACCCTCTTCTCTACAGCAGATTCTGTGCTGAGAGCGTGATCCCATTGTAAAAAGACAAGAGTTGAAAACTTAAAGCGAACACTGTTTTTTTAATACTTACCTTCATCTCTGCTTTTTCTTATTAAAAAAAATTTGAATCTGAAAGCAGAGTCACACCGTATGCATCTGGTGTGCTGCTGGTGTGAGGGAAGATTAATCTGTCGCTGGACTACTCCGCACATTTAACCCAGGAACTCAACGCTCAGATCGTGAAAATGACTCAGTCCTCAGAATGGGTCCAAAAAGACCTTCCCTTGGCTCAGCCTCTAGGGAACTGTGGACTGACACAGAGCTTTTCCCTTCTCATTGTTTTCACTTCCCATGAGCTCAGCATGAGCTAAGCCAGTACTGTGTTCCTCCCCTCCTGCCTCAAAACCTTTGCTGGGAGGAGGCAAAAACTCTTCCCAAAGCCCTCGACTTTACAAGGTGGACCTGTGGAACCAGGCTTCTGATTTGTACCCCCAGCTGGAGGAGGGTACACACGGGCACTCAACTTCACCACCCTCCTTCTCGCACTCATCTTCTCATCTTGCCTTGTCACCACCAGTTCCCTGCAGATACACACACTGGCCCCAGCTGCCATACCCACAGTGTCGGTGGTGGGAGGCTTCTTCTTAGAAAGCAGCAAAACGAGTCTGTTATCCCAAGCAACCTAGCGGCTACTGAACCCAGAGTGCTGCTGGGCTACACACTAGGATACAAATAAAATACGGGAATGTCCAATAATTTCTCAAAAGCTTTCAGCAGCGTCAAAATTCAGAATGTCTCTAGAAACCAAGGATTAAATGAAAAGGAAACAATCGCTTGTCCTCAAATCCAAACACTATATATGCCTGCCTGTGGATTCTTTTTTATATCCTAGGTCATATTTAATACAATTTTAACAGGCTTGTTTAGTTTGTTTTCTAGCTCACAGAAGATCAGAAGGAAGGGACAGACTGCTCAAGGCAGACTCAGTGACAGCAGTGAAAAGTAAAGCAGTGAGAAATAATACCTGATAGCAGGGCAATGGGGGAAAAGGCAGAAACTACATCCCCCCCATGTATACATACACATACACATACATCCAACCCAACCAGTTCAGCAATTAGAGGCCCTAAACAAGGACTTCAATACAGAACTCAAACTGCATGGTAATTTAAGAACATTTAGTACAAAGCAGCCTCACCATAGTAGAGAACAGTATAATCTGTTCAGTAATGTTAACCTGCACTCATAAGAACTTACATACAATATAATGTTTAGGAAATTAGGTAAATAAAAGTTAAAATAATTCCATATAAACCAGAGTCTAGTTTGATAAAACTACTTTGGTGCCTCAAGGGATAAGCTTCAATTTTCTAAAAAACTCATTTCGTTGGTTAGACAGTTGATTCTAAGTAACCCAGATCCAAGTAAATCAGATAAATGAAGCATGCCTGTAGCAAAGCCTCTCCTTTTGAGGGGCTTACAATGGAAGAGGGAAGAGAAGCCCACGTGGTGAAGCAGGAAAGGCCACCCAGCCACTGGATTAGGTGTAGGCATTTCCCAGAGGATAACATGTGGGCTCATGGCTTTGAACCTTCTCTACCTACCCTTTCCTCACCCGGTGCCTCAAGAATCCCAAATACGATGCCTTGTGTTGCTCCACGTTGCACTGTAAGGGGGTCTTCGGCCAATGTCTCACCTTAGTGTGCTAAACATCCCCCAAGCTAGAGGGCCCTTCTGAAACAGCCATCTTTCTACATCTGGATCCCGCCTACAAATTTGTGATCTTTTTCGGGACCACGTGGCTCTGGCCTGGTGTCAACACCCCCTTTCCATCCATGTTTTTAACAGAAAGAATCCTAACAGGCAGGGGCTCTGAGAGAACAAAGTAACTCTGATGGCAGAGTGTTACTGTGTAAGTAGGAACAATCACCACTGGTGATGGAAGTAAGGTATCCTTTCCAAACCTACTCCAGGCACCAAGAAGGAAGAAGCAAGCAAACAGGCCTCCAGCAGGGAAGCGAGGTGCTTTTAGGTTAAGTCTTGGGGTGAAAGGCTCATGCAGTGAGAGCCAAGACCCAGCAGACAGCCCTGGGTTCCAAACCCAGACCTGGCAAATTTGCACTTTTGAGTCAACTCCTCTCATCTTCCCGGCTGTTTTAATATAGACTCACAAAATCTCAGGACTGGAAATTCTGACTCAGGCAAAGAATCAAAATATTTTTGCAGTTAAGGCAGTGCTTCTCAAACTCTCGTACGGGCAGAGAGCTTGTGCTCTTGAGGAGTCTAAGGTGTAGTCTTAAGCACTACTTGCTACAAGTGGAAAATTTCTTTGAAGTGTCATGTTTGGTCTTAGTAATTCATGAGAATTTTTCATTTTGTCTCATAATACATCAATAATACATCAATAATTTTCCCTCAAAATCTGTGAAAAAATCCACACTTGAGCAAGATGAGCCCATGTTTATCTTATGGATTCTCATTACCTTGATACGAAAAACAGGGCCCTCAACAAACATTCACTATTGTTACAAAATTGGTTAATCTGAAATCTCAAATCATAAGAGAAGATTCTTAGAGTAAGAAATAAGGTTTGGACATTTCTTTCTATACCCTTAATTAGTTATAAACATTAAAACAGATTACAATAGAAAAATGTTCAAACCTGTTGCCCAAAAGTCCAAGAGACTGTCTAGTCTCCAAACTGTGTGCTATGGTGGTGATAGAAGTGAGAATAATGAAGCCAGGGACAGAAGTTAAGATGTGTACTCAATCGGTCTCCAAGTTACAAGAAAAGAAGTACACATATTAGACAGAAAAAGATTAAAAAACAAGGGTAAGACTTACTTTAAAATCTGCTAATTGTTGGTTGATGACATCCACCTCGGTCCCTACTACCCACTGGAGCGCCTCCCCCTCCTCTGCCGCTGTGGTCATGTCATTGAGTGCTTTCAGCTTCCGATAGAAGTCCTCGACCCGGCCCAGGGTCAGCTCCAGCTGCTCCTGCCGAGCTTTACTCCTCTCCATCAGTTTGCCACACTGTTTGCTCAGGGCTTCTAGCTCCCTCTTGAGTCCTAACAAGTCCAGAGTCCCTTCTTCCTCCAGCATTTGTCGGCACTCTGCTTCAGAGGCTTCTATGTCGAACTTGAGGGCTTGGATTTTGTTAAGGAACAGCCGTACATCCTCGATCTGGGACTGGAGGCTATCAGTGTCTCTGCCGATAGCACCCATGCCATCGAGCTCATCATCCAGGTCTGCCAGCTGAGAAAACATTTCTCGGACTCGGCAGTGAAACTGGCCAATGCCCTCCAGCTTGCTTTCCATTGCCATGCAACCACTGTTCACTCTTTGCTTCACTTCTAGGAACTCCTGCTGGGTGACCTCAGCTTGATGCAGAAGTTGGGAAGCATCAGATCCGTCCGGGGCATCTTCTACCAGGCCCCGAGTGAAGTTCCTCAGATAGTCCACCTGTGGCTCCAGGGTCTGCAGCACTTCCTGTTGGGCTCTTAGCTTCTCCAGGTTCTTGTTGCTGCAGGCTTGAGAGCCAAGAGCATCAAAGATCTCAAGTTGGTGTTTGGCCCCTTCAACTTTCTTTTCAATATTCTTAAAGCTTTCCTGGAACTCCTTGAGCCTCTGAGTCATTTCTTCAAGGGACCCTGTCTTGGCCTGTAGCTCTTCTGTAATGGAATCCATGTTCTGGTTGATCCCAGCCTTCTCATCCCGGATATCATCCTCATCTGTTTCTGAAGAGTTAATCAGAATGTCAGCAGCACTGTTCAGGATTTCTAGCAGGGAGCGGCGCTTTTCCACCTCACTCAGCATAGCCTTTGATCTCAGGAGATTGGACTCCAGCTGCACTGGATCCAGAGTGACCCGCAAGTCAGACATCTTGACCTTACAATCTTCTATCCATGGCACGAGATCCTCCACGTGCCACTGATATTTCTGAGCTTTCTGCAGACAGTCCTTGAGCCTGGACTGTCTGTCTGCAGTTTTTTTACTAAGCTCTTCCCAATGGCTTTTGAGCTCAAAGAGCTGGTTTTGTAAAGTTTTCTTCTCTTCTCCAGGAGGTACAGAAAGAAGCAGAGATTCTCCTTCTGCCACAATCACCTCATAGGAACCACTGTGTTGGTTAAGATTCTTCTGAAACTCTTCATTGTCCTGTAGCTGAGACTGTAGCCGCTCTAATTTTGCAGAAATTGGGCGGTTTTTTGCTTGCTGGCTTTGTTTGTCATCCAACCAGGTTCTCAGCTCATCAAACATTTGCTGGAACTGCTGGGTGCTGGCAAGAGCTGCCTGGAGTCTGTTCATGCGATCAGCTGAAATGAGAAAATCAAATTTAAATCATCAAGTCTGAACATGGCATTCAAAATGTTTGCTGAGAGTACATGGTCTAATCTTAGGAAAAGGAAACTAATGCTAATTGAGGGTCTACCATAAAAGAAGCACACAGCGAGGCTCCTTCATTTACTATATTCTATTTAACCCTCACATCAACCTTGTAAGGTGATATGAGTAACAGAAGCAAACTTTTAACTTCTAAGCTGGTAAAAAGCCATAGATGTTTCTAGAAAAAGAGGCAACAAATTAATGACAAATTTTTTCTTGTATAAGGCCATCCTAAAAAGTCTAGAACATGTTCTAATTTTGTATATATGGTATATGTGTGTGTTCGTACACATATAGTATGAAGAAACTAAGTGAGTATCAGTGAAAGTATGCGTGTAAGTCCACCTATAAGTACCTCTATGAATCTCTACCTGCTGGCTAGATTTATATTAGTGTTCTTATCTCTTAGATTATGGTGTGTAAAGCTTCACATATTGCTAGTGCCCAATCAATGTGTAATGACCACGGCAGTCCTCACTGTAGGTGGACAAAGGGATAGAGTAACACTACTCTGAGTCCAAAAGCTACTTAAGGGTCGCCCTAGATTCTTGGGACCACTAATCCACTCCTCTTTTTGGCTTGCCACTAATAATGGCAGCAGTGTATTCCTCACCTGCAAGGTCTTCTAAACCTTGGAGAGGCAGGGCAACAGTCTCCAAACGCTTCTTCAGTTCATCCTTGAGGTACTGCTCTCCAATGAGCACTGAAAGTTCATCGCAGAGTGTCTGTGCCTCCTTAATCTTGTGGTCTAACTGCTCCACATCAGATCGAATCTCACTGGTCTCCTCCAACTGCTGCTTCACAGCCTCAGGTTGGGTGCTGATGGCTGACTGGCCACTCAGTCGCTGTCTGACTGCCTTCACTTTCTCTGACAAGTCCTGGAGCAGTTCCTGGTACTGGGTGCTTTTGACAATAGCTTGGTCAATTTGGCTGGAACGGGAATTAAGTTTGTCAGTCAGCTCAATCCACTTCTGATTGATGCTCTGGAGCTCCTTCTGTACTTGGCTGGTGGAAGGAGAGACATCTCCAGGGCCTGTTAGGATGCCCTGAGCTGCCTCGTTCAGCTGCTCATGCTGTTGCCTACGTGCTTCAAATTCCTTCAGCATAAACTGTAATAGAAATGACACCAAGATGTTTAGAGAGAAAAGACAGATCTAAAAACACTGTCAAAACAAAAACTGATTTTGGATTGTGCCAAGCAGTGCCAACTCCTTTTGAAAATAAACCAGAAAACTCCAAAGACCAGGCTACTAGGAAAATGCAGTATCACTTCTAACAGCTGCTTAATAAAAACCTGTTTTGAAAGGATCATTGATTGTGTCTATTTTATTTCTTTTCCTTATTTGTCCTATACCGTTTCAACATCAGTTACTAAGGTTGGCCTTGGTTGGGAAACCAAAGTTTGTTTACTGGATGGGCACTTGTCAGCTTTGCCAGGCAAAACCCAGGCCTCTGAATGGGGAGTTTGGAACCCTGGGTCCCAAAGTGAGCTATATTACTGGCTGGGCTTGCCATTTCAACTCTTAATGTCCTACTTTTCTTAGTTCCTTTCTCAAATTTTCACCAGCACATATAATCTGCACATTATAATATAGCACAATTAGATAAAAAGCTTCTTTAAAGCAAGTACCATTCCTTTTTATTTATTTCTATTCACTGTTTCACTCATCAAAGAAGTTGAGATTACAGGCTCTGTAGTTAGACACCTGGGTTCAAATCCTGACTCCATCACTCACTAAACTGTATAAACTTAGGCAAGTTTTTAAAAGTTCTCCAAATCTCAGCTTCCTTATCTGCAAAATGAGGATAGTAAAGTACTTACTTGGCTGTTGTTAGGATTAAACAAGAAAACTTATGGAAAGTACTCAGCACTTACATTGCATAAAAATAAATACAACAGGACCTCAAGGACTAACAGATGTGCAAGTAATGAACTATAATAGAATGTAACAAAAGTTAAAATGATAGAATGCTGACGTGAACATGGAATTGTGAAAGCAAGAAGTAAAGGTGGTAAATTCCTCCGGGGATGACAAGAGCAGAAGAGGGAAATCAGGAAAGGCTTCACAGGTGACACAATAAAGAATATGTGAGTTCTCCAAGAGAACAGAGAGTAAGGCTGGTTCAGAGAAGGGCCTGGGATTAGCAAAGGCACAGAGATCCTGAGATCTATGAGTGCAGTGTGTTCAGGAAAGAACCCATTATCCGGTGTGGGAAGAAGCCCAGGTATATGGGGGAAGAGCTGGCAAGACAAACTGGGACCAGACTGTGAAAAGCCTCATGCACCACAGTGAGCAGGTATTTGAACTCTGTTCAATAGGCAGCCAAGAGCTACAGAAGCATTTTAATATATTCAGATATATGATTTAAGGGGATAACTTGATAATTGTGTAGAGGATAAACTAGACCAAGAGGCCCTTTAGCGGGCTGCTGCAATGGAACAGACCCAAGATCCAGCCTACCAGCATGTACAGTGGAGAAGAAGAGAAGCTTAGAACGGTGGTTCTCAAATTACGGTCTGGTGGCCCCTGGCAGTCCCTAAGCCCTTGCATGGGGTCAGTGAGGTAAAAACTATTTTCATAATAATACTAAGATGTTATTTGCCTTTTAAAATTCTTGTTCTCTCACAACATCCGATATCACAACAGATTGACTGCAGAAGCAGATATGAAAATCTGTGAGACTGTTCTATTAGTCAGCCATTTTTATTTTATTTCATTTCATTTCATTTATCGCTATGCCTTGCAGGTCTTAGTTCCCCGACCAGGGACTGAACCCGGGCTCTTGACAGTGAGAGCGCGCAGTCCTAACCAGTGGACCGCCAGGGAGTCCCAAGCCAGACATCATTAAAGAGATGTGCCAAAGATATAAAACAATGCCACTCTTATTCAATTTTTTACATTTTGGAAAATGTTATTTTTTCATAAAAATGTTATGTATGTTAGTGTTATGGTTGTATCATCATAATTTTAAAAATTAATTTATAAATACATACTTCAAAAATTCCTCAGTGTTTTAATACAGTTAATATTAATAGATATTAGTAGATAAACACAAGCTCTTTGGGATCCTCAATAATTTTTAAGAGTGTAAAGGGTTTTGGGATCAAAAAGTTTGAAAACCACTGGATGAGAAAAATACTTGTAAGTAGACTAAATAGGACTTGATAAATAACATGGATGCAGGGGCTAAAAGAAAGGGTTCTTTCAAAAACTACTCTTAGGGGACCTGGTGGGTGGTGAGAAGAAACAGAACAAGTTTAGGGAAGGCTACAGAACAAGGAAAGGGTCTAGGCAGGATTTCACTGGAAATGACATCACTGGACCAACCTAAATTTCGCAAATGTTGGGTACTGAGATCTGATCAGCAGAAGATCTTTAAGTAAAGCTGGCAGATATAAGATACTGCATGAAGTAATGTGGATCACTACCACTGGGGATTGAAAATAAAATACGATGCTATCATTTAGTCAGAAGTTCCCTGTCTCCCATCTGCTCATCTTACTGCCTCGGTCAACGATATTAATAATATAGTTACTGACATTAATGATATTAACAATACTGTTTGCTATTTGACAGGCACCATGATAAAGACCTTACAAGCATCTCATTTAAAGTGAGGAAATGGAGACTCTGAGAAGTTAAATGACTTGTCCAGGGTCATGTAAATCTACCTGTTGAGAGCAGCATTCAGACCCAGGTTCAAGTGCCTCTGATTTCTTTGCTCGAAAGCTTTCAGCCATACTGCTCACCTGGACCTGCTGCTTCTGTGCATTCAGCATGTTGGGGTCAATAGACAGGGGCCCTAGCACCCCCATCATCAGCTCTTTCTCCATTAGCCAGGGCCGGAGCTGGGATTCTGCAGCCTGGAAGCAGGCCAGATGACTTGCGGATTCCTCCAGCTGCCTTTGCCGAGCCATTGTCACCTCAGTGGCCATTTCCCATCGGGAATCTGTAGAGAGGAAATGAGATAATGTGTCCTTTTACCCTCATCAGCCACTAGCCTGGTCCCTAAATTACGTTCCTAATATACTACAGGAAATGACCCCTGGAGCATTATTTAATATTTTTTTAAGTTAAAAATAATCTGCATTTAATTTTAACTAAAGTAACAAACTGTTTTGTATCTTGACTGCGGTGGTGGCTATATGAAACTACACACGGGATAAAACTGCACAGAAGTACGTACATACATACACAACGCGTGTAAAATACCTTATGCGACATTATATATTATTTTATAACCTGTTTTTAAGCTTACTAATTATGAGCATCTTTCATGCCAATAATTTTTTTCATACCAATACACATTCACCTACATCATTTATAGTTCAATATTATGAGTGCAGCATAATTTAATTCCTTCACAGAATGTTTAGATTATTTCCCATTTTTCATTTTTATCATCAATGCTCTTTGTCACAGCAGATTGTCAGTATGACTTGCCCAAGAAAGCCAATACTGATACTTTGAATGCAATCTCTAAATTTTTTCCACAATCAGGCTCATTCTCTAACCCTCCCTGCCCCTTCTTGCTTGCTTATGACAATTAACTAAAAATCACTCCTGTTTATCGGGTATGCCGAAAGCCTGTATTTACTTTGAAGACAAGGAAACACCCCAGTGATAACATACTGAGCTCCTCTTGCATTTTCTTCCAGTTTTCTGCTTCTTGTGAGTTGGGATATGTCATCAATAATCCAGACAGGGCTTCCTTTACATTTTGGACTTTTGGAGAATTCTGTTCCAATTCAGCCAGGAAGGCCTAGGAGAAAGAACATCATGAATGCCATGAGATTTCTGGACAGGAAACAAAGCTGTGAGTGTGGAGGAAATCACGGGAAGACGGGGCAGCAATTACAGGCTCGACTTCTGATTCTATCCATGATTGTTTCATGATTTTAAGATGCTTAACCTTTCTGCTTGAATATTTAATTAAAAGGAAAATCTAGATGGCAAGATTTGAATTTCTTTTATGTACAACACATCAGTAACCCAATAAGAAAACTGCTAATCCCTATAAACTAAAAGTGTCAGGAATTGATGATCATGATGATGACGATGATGACGATAATGGCGATGTTTATGCAGTTGTAGGATATGACATGCTAGGCCTCAACAGGAATACTAAAATTTTTGGCAAAAAATTTTTACCAGATTTTCTACATGGTCTTATTTCTTCTGACATTTTCCCTAGGCCTACATGTCAATCTTTAGAATGAACTGCAATCACAGCTGTTTAGATCCCTCCAAGAGTTGGAAAGGTGCTTTGATGGAATGATTTGGCTTATACCATCACATGGAAAATGAGATCCCATTCTCAATGAACTGATGCTTCTGAGGAGAGCTACTCTCCTTCTGCAAACAGATCTGGTTTTGTTTCTCAGTCTGATGTGTAACAACTTCTAATTTCACAGGTAAGAAAATTCTCTGGGAGAGTTTAGGCATACGAGTCATTTGAAAGTCAAACATGCTGCTCGTAACGACTGGGTGGTTGGCCATGTCTCACTCTCAGGCCCCCAGGCTCAGGTGGGTACACTGGTACAGCCGCCCCTTCCTCTTAGTGCTTGAGATGTAGCTAATGGGAACACAGTACCTTGTTAGATTCAGCTTGGGCTCTCACTGTCTCTGTCTTGGTTGGAGATGAAGAGGCCTCCATGCCTTTCAGGACTTCCTCTTTTAACTCCAGCCACTGCAGCACCAAGCCTGCCTCCTGCTGAACTTCCTGCATTCGGCTGAGGACAGCCTGAAGACTTTCCCGGCGTTCCCGAAGCACTGCCCCAAGTTTCTCATATTTCAGGTTTACATCTGACATGTCACACTGGATCTCCGTCAGATCTAGCATCACAGAAACAGAGATCAGACTGGGAATAGCTCTCAACCATCCCCAGTGGTTCCTCACTAAATTATTCATCAGGATTAAGTATCTCTCCCACTCCTTCTAGTGAACTAGAGATGATCTTCCTGCTAAATCACATAAAAGTTCCTGTTTACATACGAAAAGCAAAAGAGCTCTCATTAATCTGATTTCTGATTTTGGCATTATACACTCAGATGTATAAATAAAATGCTAAGCAAACACGGGAGCAGCAAAAGTGAAGGGAGTGAAGGATTTGGGGCATTCTTCTACTTCCTCTTCTTTAAACTGCAGAGAAGAAAACCTAGCTGGGAGGCTGAGGGCTAGATTTAGACCACCTCTAATATAGCTTCTTTATAATTCAAAGATTTGCATATATTTTCTTCCAGGTCTTTCCTTATTGGTCTTATCTAGTGGTCCAGTTTATTTGCTTAGTAACTTTATTTCACTGGTTGCCAACCTATTTAGCCTCTAGTTAGCAACAAAGAGGCATCACAGGTGCTTCTCCCCAGACTTTTACCCTCACACCCATCCTGGCAGCAATCCTTCCACACATATGGAAACATACACAGATGCAAACATGAACACTGTCCTAACACACCCAATGAAGAGGCACTGTTGAAAATGGCATTCTCACCTTTGCAGGTGTGGTATCCGTTTACACTGCCTACAGAGCTTCCTACAGAGGGCAGTATGGAACCTGAGCAGAAGGACAGAGAGACAAACAAGGCAAGACAAATGTGTTAGGAATACATACAGGCACCGAATTTATTCTTTGGCACTCACTTTAAGCTCAGATATCAGGAAGTTAACACAGCACAAGACAACATACTCATGGAAAGAGACAAATCATTTTAGCTGCCGGGCAACAGTGTCACTTGGGAGTTTCAGCTCCTTAACCCTAACCCTAACCTTTTCTAGAGGAAATCCAAATTCTCTTCTTAAATCTCCAATTTGGATTCTTTGGACCTTGCCCTAATTTTGTGAAGCAAGTATTAGTAGAATGACTAAGTCTTTAGACTGGCATTCGACATACTTAAGAACGAGGAGGATTTATAAAACAGCCAAAAAGGTTCAACTTTAACATCAGTGTTCTTCAACATAATAAAAATAAACAGTAAGTACAATTAAGGACATAAAAAGCAGCATTCTTTTAGTAAAGACATTAAAATGAGCCTTTCCTATATTGTTTCAAAAGATCCCCTGTCTTTTTTTTTCATGACTTTCTGCTCCCCTTCCCCCACCAGAAAACAGAAATTCTAAGCGTCAATAAATCTGGCTCATAAACATTCCCATAAATTCTGTTTAGGGTCTTTGGTTCTGTTTCTAATTACCACAATTTCACCTATATTCTCCCCAAGTTGATTCCTTGTGCTTCAGGAGTATCCCAAATAAGTAAAAACCAGATCATGTAATTACAAAGATTATAAAGAAATGTGAAGAATAGTCATGACATAATGTAACATTCAAAGGGCAGAATAAGACTCTCACATGCACTGATTTCACTGTGGAAAAGGTCAAGCGCAAGGTTCTATATTAGACAATAATGACTGTAAAACTTTTAAATGTTAACATTATTGTAATTTCAATTTAAAAAATGGATCAAACCAAAAGATCATATTCCACTGCAGTCTGGTGATGACCAAAAAGAAACTGGACTAGTAATTTGGAGAAGACAGTCGTAGCCAAGACTGTCACTAACTCAGTACGTGAGCCCTAATCTATGGACAGACCTCGGTATCTTCTCTGGGATATGAAGATAATACTACCTATCTTGTCAGCTCTCATGGGGTTACTGGTGAGAAGTAGTGAGGTAGTGTATGTGAAAGCACTTTACGAAACCAAAAGAGCTCCACGACCGTAAGGAACTAGAACACGCGTGGGTTTTCAGAGATGGAAGAGAACTTTTTAAGAGCACTCAGGCTAGTGATCTTCAAACTGGTTTTCAAAGCACCCTGAGGAGGTGCTTTAGGGACTCTGTAAACGTTTGGTTTAATTTTAGTATTCAGAATATATTCCTAAGTACTTAGAAATGGCAGTAAAACATGCACATCTCAATTATGTTGAACACCACATTGTTAACCCAGTAGATACAGCCAATTTATGCTGCTTTTTGGAGAGAATAGAGTAGCTCCTGCACCTCTGTGCATACATTTAAACTTCTTTCTGAGTGTCACTGATGGGAAAAGATGTAGTTCTTCATTAGCACTCTATAATTTTCAAACCTACATATGTCCACTCACACACAAAGAAAAACATCTATAGCACATATGAATTCCATTAGATAAAATGACAAAAAAGGCTGAGGTATATCTACTCAGAGCAGGCTCTCATCAGGGTAGAATTGTGTAGTAAGAGAATTCTTAACACTTCAGATTGTAAAGTGAACTTTTAAAAACATTTGTCATCATTTGCAACTATTTATCTGTGTGAAATGTATTTTCTGGATACAATGCAACCAAGGAAAAAATTGAGAAATAAATAATGAAGCTGTCATTCAAAAATTCTTTTTGCCAAATTTTCATATTCACTAATACAGCCTCAATATCTTTTTTTAAAAATTAATTAATTTTTGGCTGCATTGGGTCTTCGTTGCTGTGCATGGGCTTTCTCTAGTTGTGGCAAGCGTGCTTCTCACTGTGGTGGTTTCTCTTGTTGCAGAGCACAGGCTCTAGGCGCACGGGCTTCAGGAGTTGTGGCACGTGGGCTCTAAAGCGCAGGCTCAGCAGTTGTGGTGCACGGGCTTAGTTGCTCCGCGGCATGTGGGATCTTCCCGGACCAGGGCTCAAACCCTTTTCCCCTGCATTGGCAGGCAGATTCTTAACCACTGCGCCACCAGGGAAGTCCCGATAGCCTCAATATTCTCACTGATGAATTTCATAATAGATAAACGCTATAAATTCACTTATATTTTTATTTGTCTTATAGTTCTACATGAAATTTATTTTTAAAAAAGATTACAGTACTTTAAAAAGTTCAAACAACCACTGATCTAGTCCAGAAGTCAGAAAACTTTAGTGCACCAGCCAAATCTGTCCCTCCGCCTGTTTCTGTATGTGAAGTTTTACTGGAACACAGCCACGCCCATTCATTTATATATTGTTTATGACTGCTTTTGTGCTACAATGGCAGAGACATGTAGTGTGACAGAGACCATATGGCCCACAAGCCTAAAATATTTACTCTATGGCCCTTTATAGAAAAAGTTTGCTGGGTGATGTCACACACTAACAAGTCAATGAACTTAGAAATTTAAGTGTTAGAATATAAAAATCACCAATTCTCTGAAATGCTGTCACTTCTAGATAGTTCCAAGACATCTTTAAACTTTAGGATACAATAGGAAAGTAGCCATTCTCAGGAGGAATAAAGAAAGTAAACTTTGCCCTTACTATTTAAGTGACTATAGGAGTGCATTAACATAGTCTGGTAATAAAACCTAGGAGATCCCAATTGACAACCAGCAAGTGACTGTGAGCTCAGAATGCTTTTTTTTTTTTTTTTTTTTTTTTTGCGGTACGCAGGCCTCTCACTGTTGTGGCCTCTCCCGCTGCGGAGCACAGGCTCTGGATGTGCAGGCTCAGCGGCCACGGTCCACGGGCCCATCCTCCCAGACCGGGGCACGAACCCGTGTCCCCTGCATCGGCAGGCAGACTCTCAACCACTGCACTACCAGGGAAGCCCTCAGAATGCATTTTGTTTGCAAGACTTAATTTGTAGGCAGAGATAATTCATATAGTTGGGCACAATCTTTGTATGTACTTCTAAGAAGTGTGTCAGTTCCTGGTGTACCACTACTGACTCCTAAACACTTAGCCTCTCCCAAGATATCATGCTTATACCCTCCAGGGCTGACCCTAATTTAAAGTTAATGCATAGCCATCCATTCACATATTTAAAAGACAGAAATTCCTCAAGATGGAAAATCCTATTTTAATCCTTCTATGTTCATTTCACAGTTCTAAGTGGGCCAACTAGTCCCTTTACTTTTTCCCATCACAGGAAGGGGTTTTGCAAAATGGAAGCAATGTTACAAAGGAAATGGGAAAACAGATCAGGTTGAGGGGAAGACTGCTTCATGAAACATCCTTGGTTTTCATATCCAATCTTGATTCTAATGTTTATTCAATAAGCAGTCATCACCAAAGGGCAAAGGAAGAATGATATTTATTCACTACATTTTCAAGAGCCCACACTCACCTGTCTTGGCTTGAGAATCAGGTGCTGTGATCTCCATGATGAGATTTTCTAAAGAAGTACCTTTGCAATTGATTTCTTCTACCAAAGTTCCCTTACTTGTCCAGTCATCTAGGAGACCCTGTTTAAAGAACAAATTAGCAAAATGTAATATCTGGAGGCTTTCTCCTCATAAGTAGGGACACCTGTTCTACATACACTCCCTAAAGTTTTGATAAGCATTAAGCAATCGTCCTCATTTATTCAGCCATTTCCAGAACTTGGTTTAGCCAGCCAAGATGTGGGAGAATGGTATCCTAGAATATTCAGGCCCTTCTAATTCATTCATTCATTCATTCATCAAGCAAGTATTTTTTGAGCACTAACTATAGGCCAGGCATTGTGCCAAACACTGGGGATACAAAATAGGCTTATGACACAGTTCCTAAAACCAAGAGCTCAGATTATCAATGGCATTATAATGTGATAATGCTATTACAGAAATATGCACAGCCACTAGACTCTGAGAGCACAAAAGGACACACATCTAACTCTGCCTGGAGAGAGGAAAGATTGGAGTTAAGATAAGAGTTTGCCAGGTGGACAAAGGGAATACCATGCTTGTAAAGAATATAAAGGAAATGGTAATTGGAGGGTAAAATGAGGAGCTAGGTATTGAGATGTAGAGAAACATACAGAATCATAGGCTACACTTTGCCTTTTCAAGGGAATTTTATATTGGGTTTGAAGTCAGAGCTCAAACCACCACAGAAAGCTGTTAGGAAACAATGGCATTTGCTCTAAGACAAAAGTATCTGGTCACATTGTCTCTAAGCTGTAAACTGCCTGCTACAGAAGTAGAATTTTACTCTTTTCCAAGCTGGGACACCATCCTAGCCTTCAATCCCTTCCTCCATCCTGAATCTCCCTCACAATCTACTTAGTTTGCTTTTGACTTCAAGCTACAAAGCAGCGGCAGAGAACGACATCGAGCCATGAACATCTGGCAAGCTCATGCTGCCCAGCTTCAAGCTGAACCTTGCCAATTCAGAGTGTGTCAGTTCTTTTATTAGTCACTCTTGATTCCAAAGAGCCAGCAGTTCCCAAACTATGCACTGACTCACAGGATACTTTAAATTTTTGAGGGAAAAACAGTGACATCTGTTGGACACCATGTGAACAACTACTGTTAAGCTGTTTGGACCTGACCACTTAGTAAGTGAGGTTTTTCAGTTTTCTGGGTGTTTTTTTGTTTGTTTGTTTTTTGCCTTGAGATGCCATGAAAAATGTCTTGAAACACAAAGGGAACCATGAACCAAGAAATCAGGGAACCTCTGTCCTAGGGAACTCCCCACGGCAAATGCTCCTGGCACTCTCTCTGTGAAAGCTCTTCTCTTTCATCTATTTAAGATAAATCCTGTTTTACTAAGAAAATAAGGACAAATGCATGAGCGTTAGTTGGAGACTGGTTTCAACAAAAGTAAGAAACATGTTAGAGGTGCAAATAGAGCTGGATGACTATGAATCAAATATAGGAGAGAAGGGATTCTGCAACAGATGGGAGAAAGGCTGATGTACCATGCAGGTACATTCCAACCATGTGATTGTAACTTTTCCTTTATTAGTTGAGGAGAAATTCTCTCCTCAATTTTCTGATCACATATCTGGTCACTTGCTCACCTATAATTGTCTAATTCTCAAACATACAACAAGAGTGTAATCTTCTCAAGACTGGACTCTGACAACTGTCTTTTTTATGACCTGCCACAGCATGACAGGCATCCCCAAGACAGCTGAAACTTTATAGATACCATTCCCAGATTACTTTTTTGGTTTTGGCTTTTAAATAGGAGATGTTTTGGTGCTCAGTGCTTGGGTAGGGGTAGGCTGGACTCACGTGGAGAAAATGGAGGAACTGCTATTCTGACACATGGATAATTTGGATTTCTCATACCATTTGCCCACCACAGGTGGAAATGAGTCCACACAAGATTCCAAACTGCTGTCCAGCCTGATTCCTGGAGAGACTTTGTTCACCTACCTTCAGGTGTTCAATCTGTTTTTCCAGCTCTTTAGTGCTCATGAAAGTCTCTGTCGGTGGAATACTCCCTTCGGTTTCCTTCAGCCATTTCTGGAAAGTCCTAACCAACTTCCGGAATTCATCTAATTGCTGCTGGCAAGATGATGCATCTTCCTCTCTGTCAACAGAGACAACTTGTTACTTGCCAGACTAAGCTTGTAAAGAAGTCAACGTGAACTAAAACTATATTCATTCTAGGACTCCAGGCATCAGTTTCCTAACAGGGCCTTTCCTTCTCATAATCTTTTCCATGGCAGCTTTGGCTAAACAACCACATATAATGTAGGAGAGCATCAAACTAAGGAATCTGTTGCCCTTGTTTGGACATTTCTGGGGAAAGGAGTCTTCAATCTTACTCTAGGCTAAAGTGAAAATGAGAAAAACTAAAGGGAGCCTGCTATTTAGGTACTATGATACAATGGAAAGAATGCAGGCTTTGGATCTCAAGGCCAGCTCTGCTACTTTTTAGGTATTTGACTCTTTCAAGGCCCAATTCAAATGCTAATTCCTTTAACAAGGAAGATGCCAAAATTGAGGCTCAGAGAAGTTAGGCTAAGCATACCAATGAGCAAAATAAATCAAGGAGAAAGGAGAATTCAATTTTGAAATTAAGTTTTGGAAATGGTCACATCTATTAGACTTCAAGCCAGAGATCCTGGCTCTTCATATAGCTACGTAGCCCTCAGCGGAGGGCAAGAAAAACAAAGCCTTCGTGGCCTTTGTCCTGTCCCTTTCACCTGCACTAAATAACCGCTGCTTACAGTGCTGATCTGAGCAACTGCTTTCCCCTAGTCACTGAAGCCATCATCTGCTAAATCGGAATATTTACGGCTAAACCAAGAGAAGTCTTCCCAAGCTTTTAAACCCACAGGAGGCTTTCCAATGGAGGAATTATGGCTTTTCAACTGTGAGCTAATAACCTGAAATCATCTACCTTTGTTGTACATTCCCATGTTTGCCTTAAAAGAAGAATCCAGAAACTCCTCTGTAACAGCAACTTAAATGTGGTCAAAACAAGCAGTGTGAGTTCCAATATAATCCTTAATTATGTCTGGGAAGTCTCTTCCAATTTTTCTCATTATTTCAAATCCTGCCACAATCCAACTTGCTGCCCCAAATTTGTTCTGTTTGGTCCAGGTGACCTGGACTTTTGATTGTACTCAGGGGGAACTGAATCCCATTACTGAGAAGGAACTCACTATTTACTAACAGAAAGACCACTAAGCATTAAGTAGACTGAATAGCTTTGTCTGAAAGAGGCACTTTCCAATCTCCTAAGGCTCAGTAGCAGAATTTTGATGCCATCTTTTCTGGTGAAGAAGGAAGGAGGAGAAAGTTATTTCATTCAAAAGCAAGAAAAAATTAGCTCCATGACACTGATCCATACATATGAAAACTCACCTTTCTTTAACTGTCTTCTGTAGCTCTGTGAAGTCCTTTTTGAGGTTCTGTACCCTGTCCTGGTGCTGGGACAGGTCCAGGGCAAAGCCACAGGAGCTCAGGTCAGTGACCAGGTACTCAAGAGTATCCAGGTTCTCCTGTTGGTCTTCCATTTCCAAATTGAGCTCCTGTCAAGGAAACAAGGAAATGTATTCAATCCTCTGGTCCTTGTAAATAATGACTCTAAAGAATGAAAGATATCTAGATTAAAGCTGGGGCATGTTCTCCCTTATTTGTAGAAAAAGGGGGAACAAGAAAAGAGGCATGGGGCTTCCCTGGTGGCACAGTGGTTGAGGGTCCGCCTGCCGATGCAGGGGACGTGGGTTCGTGCCCCGCTCCGGGAGGATCCCACATGCCGCGGAGCGGCTGGGCCCGTGAGCCATGGCCGCTGGGCCTGCGTGTCTGGAGCCTGTGCTCCGCGGCTAGAGAGGTCACAGCAGTGAAAGGCCCGCATATCGCAAAACACAAAACAAAACAAAAACAAAAACAAAAAAAAAAAGAAAAGAGGCATGTTCACCGGGTCAACTGCTAGATCAAAACATTAAATATGTAGGATTTCTCCAATCCACCTGAGAGTGGCTGGAAATTACAAAGGAGTCTTGTCTCCTTTAAACAAATCTTTAAAGATTCCAGAGGCAGCATGAGAGAATAAAAAGAATGGAAGTTTCTGGAGTACAACAGACCTGAAAGTCAATCATGGCTTTGCCCTTTACTAGCTTGTGATCTTAAGCTATTGAACTTCTCTAAGCTTCCGCAGTCTGTCTCTTCTTTAAAACAGGTAAACACACTCTTCACTATTATTTAACACTGTATTGACAATATTAGCCAATGCAATTAGGTAGGAGAAAACAATTTGTGGCATAAGAATTTGAAGAGGTACAACTATATTTGCAGATTACATGAAAGTATATTTGTAAAACCTCAGAGAATCAACAATACAACCAAATTGAACAACGAAGTAATCCAATAAGAATATAAAATCAACATATAAAAATCAAGAATAATATAATAGCAACACAAAACGTACAATTTTAGGAACAGTACAAAACCTTTATGAATAAAACTTTAAAAGACTTCTGAAAGACATGAAAGCAGACCTGGAAAAAAAGGAAAGATGTCCATAAAGCTATGTGTGTATGTGTATGCATGCATCTATGTGTGCATATATGCATGTGTGAATGAGTAAAGTAATGTGAGCCAAACAAATATACCAACTCTTTTCTCTAGGACTGATGAAGTTGATTCTAATGTTCATATGGAAAAATAAATGTACAATTATAGCTATGAGAAATCCTGAAAAAGAAAAAAAGAGAAAATGAAAAAAGAAATAAGGGAGATTAGCCTTACCACATAGTAAAACATACCAGAAAGCCTCTAGAATTAAAAATAGTATGCTATTCTTAATGAATAGAAAGACCAGTGAAATAGAATAGAAAATCAAGAAATAAACTTCAAAACCTAAGACATTTTGTATGTGATAAAGACAGATTCTCAAATCACTGGGGTAAAGACAGACTTTTCAAATAAATGATATTGGGAGTAACTATATAGAACTTTGAAAAAAGATGAACTTGTATTCATAGCTCATACTATACCTCACAATAAACTTAAATTGTTAAAGTATTCAAATGTAAAAGAAAAAAAAGAAAAGGAAACCATTGGGTAAATTCCATCATAACCTGGGTGTGGCAAAAGGCTTTCAAACTATGACTAAAAATACAACTTCAATGAAAGAGTGATATCTCTGGTTTCAAGCTATACTACAAAGTTACAGTAATCACAACAGTACAGTACTGGCACAAAAACAGACATATACATCAATGGAATAGAACAGAAACCCCAGAATATAAATCTAAATGGATAAAGAAGATCTCTATCTCTCTCTCTCTCTCTCTCTCTCTCTCTCACACACACACACACACACACACAGACAATGGAATATTACTCAGCCATAAAAAAGCATGAAATCTTGCCATCTGTGACAACATGGATAGATCTAGAGTATATCATGCTAAGTGAAATAAGTCAGAGAAAGACAAATACTGTTGATCTCATACTTGAAATCTCAAAAACAAAACAAATGAACGAACAAACAAACAAAAACAGACTCATAAATACAGAGAACAGGTGGTTGTTAGAGGGAAGAAGGTTAGGAGAATGGGTGAAATGGGTGAAGGGAATTAAGAGGCACAAACTTCCAGTTATAAAATAAATTTAAGTCATGGGGATGTAATATACAGCATAAGGAACATGGTCAATAACACTGTAATAACTCTGAATGGGGACAGATGGTTACTAGCCTTACCATGGTAATCATTTCATTATGTATTTAAATGTTGAGTCACTATGTTGTACACCTGAAACTAACATAATATTGTATGTCAACTATATTTCAGTTTAAAAAAAAGTGATAAAATCTATTGTGTAAAAATTTTAAAAAAAAACAACTTTTATATGGCCAAAAACACCATAAGCAAAGTCAAAAGGCAAAGGACAAACTGTGAGAAAATATTTCCAACCTGTTATAAAGGACTAATTTCCCTAATACAGAACTCTTGTTAAGTTGAAAGAAAAAAAAGATCAAACTCTTGGCAGACGATAGCAAAATACATGAACCAATGATCTACAAATAAATGTCTCTTAAATGTATAAAAATATATTCAACTTAGAGAAGAAATAAAAAATTAAAACCACATTGAGATATGTTTTATTAATTAGATTAGCAAAAACTCAAATGCTTGACAATACATTCTATTGGTGAGGCTGCAGGGGAAATATATAGTACTGTCATACACTTCTGCTAGGGATGCAAAATGGAGAAATCCTCATGGAGGGAACTTGGCTACATCTAACAAAACCACACAACCGTTTACCCTCTGATGCAACAATTCCAGTCTAGGAATTACTCTGAAGATACACTTCCAATAATACAGGGAAAAAACACAGAATTATTCACTACAGTGTCATTTTTAATAGCACAGTTTTGGAAACACCAGAACAAGAGTCTGGTGGAATAAACTACGGTTCATCCTCAAAATGAATGTATAGTTTAAAAACAAAAAAAAAAGAGGAGGATATCTATGAATTAAGTGATTTCTAAGACATATTAAGCATAAAAGGAAAGTGCAAAAGATTACGTATTGTACCCCCTTTTGCGTAACGAAGAATTGGAAATGGTGTGTTTATTTTGGAAAAAATAAATAGAAATAATAAATGTGAAATCCACTACCTGTGGGGGTGAATGGGATAGAAGACACACGGAAGAGAGTGAGAGTATATTCTTATTCACTTTCCTACACCCTGAATATAACTTTTTGAAAAGTTTTGACTTTTGAGCTATCTTTTCTTTTTTGAAATTTGAATTTTATTTTTTTATACAGCAGGTTCTTATTAGTTATCCATTAGTTATACATATTAGTGTATATATGTCAATCCCAATCTCCCAATTCATCACACCACCACCACCCCCTGCCACTTTCCCCCTGGTGTCCATACGTTTGTTCTCTATATATGTTTCAATTTCTGCCCTGCAAACCGGTTCATCTGTACCATTTTTCTAGATTCCACATATATGTGTTAATATACGATATTTGTTTTTCTGTTTCTGACTTACTTCACTCTGTACAAGAGTCTCTAGATCCACCCATGTCTCTACAAATGACCCAATTTTGTTCCTTTTTATGGCTGAGTAATATTCCATTGTATATATGTACCACATCTTCTTTATCCATTTGTCTGTTGATGGGCATTTAGATTGCTTCCATGACCTGGCTACTGTAAATAGTGCTGCAATACACATTGGGGTGCATGTGTCTTTTTGAATAATGGTTTTCTCTGGGTATATGCCCAGTAGTGGGACTGCTGGGTCATATGGTAATTTTATTTTTAGTTTTTTAAGGAACCTCCACACCGTTCTCCAGAATGGCTGTATCAATTTACATTCCCACCAACAGTGCAAGAGGGTTCCCTTTTCTCCACACCCTCTACAGCATTTGTTGTTTGTAGATTTTCTGATGATGCCCATTCTAACTGGTATGAGGTGATACCTCATTGTAGTTTTGATTTGCATTTCTCTAATAATTAGTGATGTTGAGCAGCTTTTCATGTGCTTCTTGGCCATCTGTATGTCTTCTCTGGAGAGATTTAGGTCTTCTGCCCATTTTTGGATTGGGTTGTTTGTTTCCTTAATATTGAGCTGTGAGAGCTGTTTATATATTTTGGAGATTAATCCTTTGTCCGTTGATTCGTTTGCAAGTATTTTCTCCCATTCTGAGGGTTGTCTTTTCATCTTGTTTATGGTTTCCTTTGCTGTGCAAAAGCTCTGAAGTTTCATTAGGTCCCATTTGTTTATTTTTGTTTTTATTTCCATTCCTCTAGGAGGTGGGTCAAAAAGGATCTTGCTGTGATTTATGTCATAGAGTGTTCTTCCTATGTTTTCCTATAAGAGTTTTATAGTGTCCGGTCTTACATTAAGTCTCTAATCCATTTTGAGTTTATTTTTGTGTATGGTGTTAGGGAGTGTTCTAATTTCATTCTTTTACATGTAGCTGTCCAGTTTTCCCAGCACCACTTATTGAACAGATTGTCTTTTCTCCATTGTATATCCTTGCCTCCTTTGTCATAGGTTAGTTGACCATAGGTGCGTGGGTTCATCTACACTTTCTATCCTGTTCCACTGATCTATATTTGTTTTTGTGCCAGTACCATATTGTCTTGATTACTGTAGCTTTGTAGTACAGTCTGAAGTCAGGAAGTCTGATTCCTCCAGCTCCATTTTTTTCCCTCAAGACTGTTTCCGCTATTTGGGGTCTTTTGTGTCTCCATACAAATTGTAAGATTTTTTTGGTCTAGTTCTGTAAAAAATGCCATTGGTAATTTGATAGAAATTGCATTGAATCTGTAGACTGCTTTGGGTAGTATGGTCATTTTCACAATATTGATTCTTCCAATCCAAGAACATGGTATATCTCTCCATCTGTTGGTATCATCTTTAATTTCTTTCATCAGTGTCTTATAGTTTTCTGCATACAGGTCTTTTGTCTCCCTAGGTAGGTTTATTCTTAGGTATTTTATGCTTTTTGTTGCAATGGTAAGTGGGAGTGTTTCCTTAATTTCTCTTTCAGATTTT